TAGTGAAGGTATAAGAAATTTTTTAATTGTCGATTTTATCCGAAAATCTAAAAGAATCTTCAAAGGCTTATAACGCTTACACCGAAATTTATGCCAAACATTTTTTGAAAACTTTAAATTTTTTTATACCTTGTGTAGTCAGTGGCCTCTAAAAGAAGGCAAAAACCGATAAATGTTTTTAGAGCGTGCTTGACATAATCGGATTAGTGTTACCCGAAGTAAGGGTATCAACACCATAGAGTGACGAAAATCGCAGACTAAAAAAGAAAACAAAAAAATAAAATAAAATAAAAGTAAATAAACGAAATTATTAGAAGTCCGAGAAATGAAATGCACGGCCGTCTTAGTGACAATAAGTTCATTGGATGGATATCAAGAGCAGAGTGCACGACTTAACATTATATTACATATAATGAACCTTAAGAATTGAGCATAAGCTGATAGAGAAACATTGGAAGTAAACAGTTTGGTATGTAGTTGAGTCGTACATGTCATGAGTCATGAGCATAATATGCACTAACAGAAATAAAGAAATTAAATATTAAAAAAAATTTAATAAAAAGTAAATATAGAGAAAAGTAAAAAAAAAAATTAAAAAAAAAAATCGAAATATTTGAAGCTTTAAATTATAAAACAAATTACATAAAATATATAAAAATTTAAAAACAAATAAAAAACTAAAATATAAAAAATATATAAAATAATAATATAAAAAAAAATATAAAAAAATATAAAAAAAATATAAAAAAAATATAAAAAAAATATAAAAAAAATATATAAAAAAGATATAAAAAAAATATAAAAAAATATAAAAAAATATAAAAAAAATATAAAAATAAATATAAAAATAAATATAAAAAAATATAAAAAAAATATAAAAAAATATAAAAAAATATAAAAAAAATATAAAAAAATATAAAAAAAACGAATATAAAAAATCAAGAGATAAAAAATAGAAAACTCCAACATTATAAAATTAAAATATTAAATACTTGTATATATTTGTTAAAATATAAAAAAATATTTGTAAAATTAAAATTGAAAAGCAATTTAAAAAATAAGAAATTAGAAAAATAAAAAAAATACAAAAAAAATTAAATTTTTTAAACAGTTGGCAATATTCCCTAAAAGTATTTTCGATTTTTTTTATTTAAATAAATTCTTTTATCATTCATTGAAATTTTAGCTTTGATGGTGCTAAAGTTTGTATATTGTATCTCCCTACAAACATACATTTGTATGTATGTAGTAATTCTTTATAGCCCGAACGTGACGGAATGCACTGCCAACACAAAATCGTTGCGGTCGATCGAACTCACTGCTGCTGAGCTTCACCTTAAATGAAATTCTAACCAAGCAAATTTTTAGGAGATGTCAGATGTTTTATGCTAAGACTGCTTTTGCAACCCTCTTGGCCCTGTGTTATATTGAATTTGTCTGATTTTTAATGGAGATAAAATGTGAATTTGTCACTTTCTTTTGTCGTCATCGACTTAACTTTCATATGAAAAAAACATTGCTGCGCATTAACTTGTCCCAACGTCGATGTATGATTATACATGTATTATATTATCCTTCGCAAGTATAATCTTTTAATTTTGCTTTTATTTTTTTTTTTTATAATTTTATTGACCTGTCATCGCCGGCTTGTGCACTTTTGTGCCAATAACTGCTACTGTGAGCCGGAAGCCAAGTTTGCTTTGGCTTGTGGCGTTGATGCTGATTGCTAATACTCTCTGGCATTCTCTATCACCAACCTTACAACAACAACAACAACATCGCTCGCACCCTAGAATATCATTTTTCTTTCTCTTATTTACAATTCTACACTCAACCTACACTCACTCGAGTGCCAGACATTTTCAATTGGTGCAAAAGTTTTAATCAAACCTTTTCACAAAATCCTCAAAATCCGCTAGATAAATAGATTTTTGTCAATATGTTTGTGTTTGCAAGTGTATGCACATAAATGAATAGATGTATGTGTATGAACGAAGGTAAGTGGGTTGTTGTGGGTGTTTTGTTGGTGTCACGGTGCACTGCATTACGCTCCACTTGCCGAAGTTAGTCAAATACTTTGAACGTTAACAACAAAAAAGTGCATAAAAGTGAATGAAATTTGGTACTTTATTTATTGAGTAGGCCAATGGGAGATAGTTCGACAAATTGTTGAATGTATGCAAAAAAAAAGAGGAAATTTTTCAATTTTACATATACACAGACATACTTTTTTATGACAGAATTTAGTGGGACTTTTTTTTTTTGTGAAATATAAAATTGCTTTGAATTTCACTACCAATATTTATTTGTGCGATTTAATGGAGTTTTTCTCTGTTTAAATTTATCGAATTTATTATATTTGCTTGTTTACACACATCCATGAAAGAAATATGAAATATTATATTATATTTATACACATACATATGTATGCGCAGAAATATATTTTATTTATAAATAAATAATATGATTGGCAGGCAATATTACCGGCAATTAATGCGTCATTTTTATTGTGGAAATGAGTCAGTAATTGCTTTTCTGTCACATTTACAGCCGCCTACGCTTTTTATCTGCGACAAACCTTTAACATCCGACGCAGCATTACAGCTTCCATTGGTATTGTGAATAAAATATGAAATTTAAAATAAGCGATTGTGCAAAAACAATGAGAATGTACTGCAAAGCCAGAAAAAGTGTGATAATTATGGGAAAAAGCTGCATATTCATTTAGTAAAAGATGAAATCAATTAATGTTGGTGTATATATGTTCTGAAGTTGTAAAAGACCCAAGCTTAGTGGGTGGTATTGGATTTTAGCAGCTTACCTTAACGTGAATAAGTTCTTGAATTCATAAATGACTTAACCGTCGAGATCAGGTTTTGATCCCTTGACTGCGGTTGCCCATCTTTCATCTCATTTTAAATTATACCATTATATAATGGGTGCTCTTTTAGACACGTGGTTTTAATGAAGAGGTGAAACTCGTATAATTTAATGTCATGGCCAAGAATTAAGCTTTATTATAAAAATAAGTTTTTGCCATTATATTTCAAACATTATTTCGTGCAAGTAACGGCCGCGACTGGCTCAAATAAATTCCAACCGACCAATTTTTGACCACTGTCCCAACAATCACTTCAAAGGCGGCAATCGGGATCGGTTAGCATATCCCCTTTGACCCCATTCACCGAACGTTCGACGCGCTTGATGGTCGTTCGGCTTCAATTCGTGCTCGAGTAGGATTTGCTAAGCTCGTCAGCCTTGGTCCTTCCACAAAATTTTCCATCAGGTGGACGGGCGCGATGGCAGATGGACTCATACCAGTTTTTTTTTCGATACTCTGCCCTATGGCACCAATAAAGTCCGCAGTATCCACTGTAGTACATGTGGTACGGAATCGATACCTGGTTGCTCGGACTAACGACTTTGGCGAAAGTATTGAAAACTCAGAGAAAACATCTCGCCATAAAACACACCCGTTTCGTTTTATGTAAAACCATTCAATTTGTTATAAATTTATTGATATTTCGACTTTATTATCATCTGTCGCATTTTTTTAATCAAATCTATAGAAGCTTTTGAACACACTTCCAAAATCAACATCATTCTGTCAGCTTAATATTTTAATCACAAAAATATTTCCAGATTTGCAATGTCCCGCATATGACGAGAGGAATCCAACTTTTAGCAAATGTTAACCCAGCTATATAGGAGTATAGCGCTAATTTTTAGAGTCTGCTACCTGCGATTCTCAACAATGCTCGTCCGAATCATTTGGTATGGATGAAAGTCTCCCTCCGTCAAACCATCTTACACTTACTTAATGTTACATGCACTAAGGGATGTAGTTGAGAACTAGCAGAGTTTGCACATATCCAGGGTTTACTGTCTCTGAAACGACAGTCACAAAGTGCGCCCACTACATATTGGAGAAAAAACTCGGTCAAACTCGTAGCCCAGTTGCAGTGAGCTATGACGCTTAACTGCGAGAATTTTATATTTCACTCGCACCAAACTGTTTCCTTGAAAAATTTCCAATAGAGTTTCAGTTCGTCAATTTGTCGCTGCTAACCCATTTCCACGAATTGAGTGCTCACAACAACCAATTAACCAACCAACGATCAACCATAATTAATTTCTCGATCGAATAACTCGCTGCAAAGCCACATTTCCCCATAAAACCATTTCGCTAAACCTGTCGGAACTGCATTCATTGTTCGTCATTGTTTGACGTGATTTTAGTCGGTGACACCATTACGATGTGAATTTTCGCACATCTAAAAATGATCCACAACTCGAATTTTACTCCAGCAGGTTGCATGCTACACATCTGCTGAAACTGAGTCAAAAGTAGAAAATAAACAAAAACCGCTCAACCAGGCAGAGATACTACGCTCAGCTGCTGACAAGAGCAGCGAACAACTCAACGACCTATATGCGACATCTGTCAAACACACGTTCGCTATCTGACATTTATTAGAGCAGAATGTGCGGCGCTCTGCACTTGTCTTGCGAGTATAATACAACAACTTCGACTCCTCCGATTGTCAACCGAATGACATACTTCAAGGCGCCGCACAGCAATATACATTTGTACATATATGTATGTATGTATGTATGTATGTATGTACATATAGCTATGCATTTGTAAGTGTCTGCGTTTGCCAATGATGTCAGAAATAGTATTTGTATGCGAGTTCTCTTGCCTCGCATTACTCATTAGGTAGCGTATGCTTTGATTAGCGCTCTACGTGCGCTTGTAGTGTTATTGCAATTGCTCGTTACTTATGAAGTAAATATTTTACTCTACTTCACTTCTACTTCCATTTGTTTGCCATCTTCTGAGGCCAGCTAACGCCAGTGGCAGTCTCATCAGCACTTATTTGGTCGACGCGCTGAGAGTTCGAGTTTCGTGTTGGCTACAGCTACACCATCAATAAGGTAAGATTTGACTCAGACGAGCGACTGAGTTGGTCGGTCAAATGCTCAGCTGATTGTTTGATCGGTCGCTCAGTAAGTGAGTATGTGTATGTGTGCATGCGGTCGGTCATTTAGCGGCATTCGAGTGTGACCCGACCGGTTGTAATATCGCTGGCGGCTTTGCAAGCTTATTTGCGTCTCTACTCGTTAACTCAGAGTTGCCCGGCTTGGCGGACTATAACTCTGGCTGGGCTGCAGTTAGCTTGGTCGTTTGTTTAGTTTGTTGTTTGAGCCTCAGTCGATTTTGAAGCTCGTGCGCGTCGCGTTAGAGTTGCAAGCGCAAACGGAACGAAATTACCGTGTATTTGTAATCATTAACTGTACTGTTGCACTCAAAGTAATTGAATTGAAAAGATCCATTGCGGTATCGATAGTGCTGAGTGTTCCCATAAACCAAAAACAAACAAAAAATTAAGAAATGAAAAATATGGTTTTGAATAAAAGAGTGATAATTACAAATTGTATATAAAAGAAATGTACGAAATTGTGCCAAAGAACGTGATGTTTCTTAAAATTTAAATAGTTTATTTTCGAAAGTTTAGAAATTCAAATTTAAAAATCATTTAAATATGAGAATCCTAATAATGCTTAAAACACAATTTGGCTATTTCAGCGAAATAACTTTTATATTTTTGCTTTAATGATTTAAATTTCAAATAATAGGTCAATAAAAAGTTATTATTGTTACTGTTGTTGTTCTTGTCATAGTTCGAAATTTTCTTTAAAATAGTGCTGGCAATTCACCTGCTAGGGCGTTTTTCAATCTGTGTGTTTTCAGTTCTGTAAACCCGACTCACGTCTGAGCACTAGTCCACTTTTGAGACCGTCATTCTTCTTTTACGATGGATTATGTCTTAGCAACTAAGTGACATAGATCTGGTGCACCATTGGACTATTAAATGGCTCAAGTCTGGCCGTCTGCGATCAGGTCCTCAACCCAACCGTTTTCAATCAAGAAAGCCCCACATTTCTAAGCCTTAAAAAAGATGAAGAAAATAAATAAATGTCCATATTAATATTTCTGCATCGAGAGTTCTTGGGTTGAGTTTTTCAAATTCAATTCTTAATTTTCTAATGCCTATGCAATACAATTTTAAATATGATCTTCCTTTAGAGAGTTTTTAGGGTAAGTGCGTTGTACTTTTTAACCATTGACAAAACATTTATACTTCCAAGTCATTGTAATGCATTGATTTGATGTGCCTGTTGCTCAGTGAACAACGTACTTTGGCCTGTAGACTCATTGTAGTAAAGCTTTTTGAAAAAAATTTGATATTAGCTGAAGCTAGCTCAGCCTGACAATCAAAAAGTGCTTCCCAAGAAACTTGTATTGCGTCGCTATTAAGTTGGACAGTCGCAGAGGTTGCGTTCGGCAGGCTCTTCCTCGTCTTCATCCTTGCCTTGCCCCTTCAAAGTCTCATTAAGCAGGGTGATGTTATTTTAAATATGGATATACCTATGAGGAACTGGTCTAGAAGCATTAATTGCATTGATATTTTAACACTTTACACCGACCAAAGCTACCTAGTAATTTCTGCCTGAATTCGCAAGCATTTTCGCAATTGAAGCTGTGCACCGAAAATTCGACGTGACACTTTGTATCTACTGAATCAGACAGTGGCTATCGCGATTTCGCAAATATGAATGGTGTGCTCAGAAGTTTAGCTTTTGGCTGAAGTTGGAGCAGTTAACTTGTGCTCTGAGGGGCTTAACTTGCTCAGAGGATGTGGGTTCTGGTTGGTCATAGCTACTGCTATGATTTGTGGTATAGGTTTTTATAATTATATTCCACACATTCCAGCTGGTTAAGAACAGCTTCTGGAATTTTGTGAACACTTGAGGTATTGATTTGCTCTGTCGCGCTTAAAAAGTTTCCACCTAAAATGCATACAAATGTATATCAATACTATTCAACACCAAATTCCAGCGCTCCATTATTTTTCTCTTACTTTTTCAATTTTCCGTCCTTTACTTTTATCCTCGCACCGAGATTAGTCATACTTGCGGCATGTTCTTTTTGCAATTGATTTTTTGTATTTGTCTACAGCGTCTAAGCAAACGAGTTTTCGCCAGCTGTCTGGCTGCCACTTTTCCAGCATTAAGCAGTAAGTTTGGTGAGCGTTCCACCGCCCCTCACGGGGCCTTTCAACTGATTCACCACTTTTTGCGCGATGTTCAGTGTGCGCTTGCTTTCCCAACTCAACTCTCAACTTTTCTTCTTGCAACTTTTTCTGCTACAGCAGTAGTTGTTGTTGCTCTTGTTGCTCGTCACGTTGCGCCAAGCAATTACAACCGACTCTTGACAAATTTCTTGCTTTTTCCCAGCCAACAAAAAATTCAAAAAAAAAGAAGCAAATTGTAAAATCGAATCCCCAGCAACAGATATCTTGTATTTATGTGCATAGTCTTTAATGTTTGATTAAAAACAACAACAAAAACGAAAACAAAAACGTTTTGCACCCCACCATTTGCAGCCGCAAGTGAAAGTCTCGCAATCACTACGGACTTTGGCGCATGCCTTTAACATCGATATTGCGTTTACTAGCATTCAATGAGCGGAAAAATAAATATTGTTTTTTAATTTTTAGTTTTGTACCGTCTGATTTCTTTTTTTTGCCTTTTCAAGCAACCATGCGCACAATCGGTTGTGGAAGGCGCAATAAACAAATTTTGCGTTTTGCCTCAGCGGTCAGCGGCTTCACATCGTGTTCCCTCGTCGTCATGTTTATACCTTTCACGTACATCTTTCGCTTAGTTTTTGAGATATTCCAAACACCTTCGACTGGCACATTTAGGGGTGCATTTGTTGGAACCAGATCGGACGATTTTTCATATTAGAGATTTTTCGTAAAAATTTGTCAAAGAAGCATCTAAGAGCGTGAAAATGGGAATTCGGACGAAGGATAAATAAATACATATAAAGCTCACATATGCCATATGATGAGGCTTTGTTCGAAACTCCTTGAAAGAGCAGCTAGGAGCGTGAAACTAGGTATTATACATTTGTACCTATAAATAAACATTGTCCCCGAAAATCATCGAAATCGGAGGACTATAATCATTTAGCTACCCAATACAACTGATTTGCTCAGATATGAGGTTTTAGGTCAAAAACCCGCCAAAAAGTCATGTAAAAGATAAAAATTCAAAATAAAATAAATATTATTGTAAAAGAAAATTATCGTTACCGGAAAACTTCATCATATAGCGCCCTCCGACCAATCTCTTAACATATATGAGAGTTAATATTCAATTTCAAATTGAAAAACCATAAATTTGATTGTGTCGTGAAAGGTATAAAGACGAATACATACATACATACACGTAGGCTTTCACGACGCCACCACCAACAGATTAATAAACAATTTGCAGCGGCAACTATGCGCCAAGCATTTTAATTATACTTTTTTATTTTTCTTATTTCTATATTCGAATGTTTGCTGTCGGTAATGATCATCTGCAATTTGCGTTCCGTTGCTTTGGCTGTCGATTGCGGCAATTGGCGTTGGGTTAGAGCAAGAGAGCAGCGTATTTTCGCTGTGCTGTGCGTGTCATCTTTAATATGCGCAGCTTTTGCTTCTTTGTCCTCAGTATTTTTAAATATTGCTGTTATCTTCAATTAAAAAAAAATATGGAAAATTTATCAATACATAAAACATCTGAGATTCCCCATTATTACGAAACGAAATGGACGTAAAACAGACATGCGATTATCAAAAAGAGTGCGACAATTGAATGTTTGGCAAGTGCTTTGAGTAAAAAATTTTTAAGTTTGAAGATTCCATTTAAGAAATACTCTGTCCACAAAAATTTGTTTGATAATTGATTTTAATCTCAATGCAAGAGAATAATAATTTATAGTTTTCCCATTTTGTTTCTTAAATTGACAAATTTTCTCCTCCATCTAGTCTGGAACAAGTTACGGTGTCTCTAAAGCCACATCTCTCGGAAACGGAGTTTCTCCAAGTCTTCCAAATATCTGCGACTCAACGCTACTACTACCGATCTATTTATTACCTTCTATGCATGCAAAAGCGGGATTGGATGGAAATGAAGCATATAACCTAAAAAAAGTGTGCTGGCTCTTAATTTCGGATCTTAGGCTGTTTTCTACGGGTAGTGGTGTGCTAGCAAACACTCTATAAAATACCGATACTTTTGCGTCCTGTTGATGATTAAGGGGGGTTTGGAGGATGTTAGGATCTTCAGTGGTAATAAAATAGTCACAGCTGGCGCCCAGCTACCACTTCAACCTAACCTAACATTTTAAAGCCATACTTTTTACAATATATTTTTTATAATTTTTCTTATATAAATGCGGATGCCCATTCGAAAATATTGTAGATGTTGTGGAAATTCGATAAGTTGAAGCTGTGAAACCCATGTAACCTTTTCATGTACCCACGAAGCTTTTGAATTTTTGAACTTTCCGATGAGCGCTGAGAATCGAAGAAGCTGAAAACGGCTTCAAAGCTGTTTTAATTTTAATATTTAGCAAATGAATAAAAGCGCAGTTTTAGTTTTATAAAAGCTTCAAGAGACTTTGTTTTTACCTGTGCAATTTTTTTTCGGTTTTTCTCATATGCAAGTGGCTAATTACTGAGCACTTAGCGTTACTATAAAAATATGAAAAGCTCGTTTACTATAAAAATAGAGATTTTTAGTTTTTATTTCTCAAAATAATTTTTTGTTTTGTTGTTGTACCTTTACGTAAATTTAATTTTGGACAACATGTGAAAAACTTTCACTGTTCCAGCATGTTGATCAGCTGGACGCTCTGTCGCGCGCCAAACAAACAAACAAAAGATTGTGTCAGCTGAACAAATTACGGCATAGAAAAATAATTCAAAAAAAGCATATAAAAATTATAGAAAAAAGTAGCGAGTAAAAGCCAAATGCGCATGTGTAAACGTCATATATGTATGTATGTCTACCATTTGCTAAATAAGTTGTAGTGTGGGCAGCGGATGTCCTCCAGCAACAACCCGTAGCAAGTTTTTTTTTTTTTTTTTTTTTTTTTTTTTTTTTTTTTTTTCACCGCCGTCACTTCACGGCTGGTCAATAGTATTTTATTTTCACTGCTTCATTTTTGTTTAGTATATTTATTTTTTATTTTTGTTTTCACGTCACAATTGTTTTGCGTATTTTTTCACGATCTCGTACTACATGTCCATGCATTTCACACCCCGACGTTTTCATGTTTCTTGTTTGATTTTTGTTTTGTTTTTTTCGCATGCTAAATTTGTGCGAACTCGTGCTATTTAATAATCTCCACTTTTTCGGCCACTTTTTGTGCTTCTTCTGGTTATTCACTTTTGATTAATTATCTTTTCTTAT